GTGAGAGATTTAAAAAAGGAAAGGGCGGTAGCACTATCAATTCTGCAGTATTGGGTATTAATCTATACATGTATACGTAGTGCAGAAGTGAATGAAAAACGCAGAGTTAACTGCACGTGCGTGAACGATCTGTTTTGCGAATGCCAAGCTCTCGACTTCACAGGTGTGAAAATGTTTTACTGGTACTGAGAAAAAAATAATGATTTGCCGAGAACAAAATTTTTTTACACCATACTTGTTACACGGATCCTATTGGTCGCACTTTCGTTTTTCAATCAGGCAAAATCCAATTAATTTTCGCGCTGCAAGTTTTATTTTTCTCTTCATTAGCTAGAGTTTGAAAAATACGTACACTTTTGCTACTTTTCGAGTGTACTTTACTCAGCAGACAACATACGCACGACAAAATTTTTTTTATTTCTCATTTTGGCCTTTGGAGTTTGAAAAATGTTTGGGCGTTGGTGTTGTTGATAAAAAATCGGCAGGTGAGCGAAAACCATGCCATTTTATTTGTCCTCATACTTTGTGAAGCAGCGAAAACGAGGGCACACGGATGGAATTCCGTAGCTGGGTAAAAAGCAAGTACACAAGGAAAATTCCTCACTTGGCATCTCCACCCACGGATGGGTGTAAATAAATGTATCGAGGGATGGTTTGTCGAGTCGAGGTTTAACAGCAGCGATGGAGTGTCAGAGAGAGAGAGGGAGAGGCCACGTGCATTTTGTTTACGGGAGAACGATGACCCAGTTTTCTCCTGCCCCCCGCACCGAGTGCCGAGCGCGGCCCCGCGAAGGGCGTGGCCTCCACCACCGCTACACTCATCTATATATAATCGCGTCTATCTATACGCTTGCGCTCCTTTTCCTCCCTTTCTCGTTTCTTCCCGAAGCTTTTTCCATGGTTATAGGTGCTCTTCTTACATCCCCTTACGGAAGTATAAAAGGGCACAAGAGAAATAATACTCTACAAGGGTCGAATGCAATATACGTGTGTGTAGTGGAGTATAGACGCGTGAGAGCACGAGCTCGGCTGAGCGCAGCTTGACTCGTTCTACTTGTTCGTTCGCTTCACTTTTTTTCCTTCATTTTTTTTTTTTTTTTTTTTTNGCAGTGTTGCTGCTTTTTTTTTTTTTTTTTTTTTTTTTTTCCCCAACTTTCATTCAATACTGTAAGTAATTGACTGACTGACATTATAATAAACTGAAGTAATGAGTACTAAACCGTTTTCATACGTGTACAGTATACTTTTACGTTCTATTCGCATAAAAGATAAATAAAGTGGCATCTTTCTTCTTTTTCTCTCCACCTCTATATGATATTTTAATGCACGGAAAATCAAGCGCGTGTGCTTCCTATGGCATATTATATGCATAGGTCGTTCATCTCCCTAGGAAAAAAAAAAATTACCATACAATCAACGCCTTTCATTTTTGTTTTGTTTGATATTTACATGGCGTACCGAAGGAACGGAAAAAATAATGAAAAAACCCATCACCAGTGTATCGGCGTAAAAGTAGAGGAAAGGCGGGTGTGTGCACGATCGAAAAAAACGGACGTGGATGTCGATGCATGGTAGCTAATATCGATCACAAGAGAAGAGAGCTACTCCGTCGCAGTGTACGATTTCAAATGACGTTTGTGGCATTATTCCATTTTCTTTTTTTTTTTACGTGGTGCACCGATGCACTCCCCCAACCGGTGTGCAGTCGACAAGGACTATGTCGACGCAACTCGAAAAATACACCCCCAGCGAGTTTTTTTTTTTTTTTTGTTTTGTTTAGTATCTGATATACTTTGCGCAGTTCAACGCGGACTCCCTCTCGCACTCGACATCGTTGAGCATTCGCTTGAGTATTGCCGTGCGGTGCGTTTGTACCTCTAATTAATGGCGCGCAATTAAAAATTACTTTCCGTCCCATGGTTGGAAGAAAAAATAAAATAAAATAAATGAAAGAGGCCAAGAAGAGTACAGGTACGAGAATGAGAAGGTAGGTGTCGAATTTTTCGCCAAAAGCGTGCAGCGGAGCCGCATATATGTATAATACATCAGTAGCAGTATAGGTACCGCAGCGTCGTTGTATTTGCATGTATATTGGCATATTTGCATATCGGAGTTCTAACATACATCTATATATATATATATTGGTTACCAGCGCTTTTTAACAGATCTGCGGATCTGTACGTATGGGCACTGTCGTCGATAACGCTGCGACGTCATGCTACGAGAGAGTCGCATACTTCGTACCTTTTCTTTTTTTGAGTTACACCGCTCGACACGTTTTTCCCTTTGTCTTACGGCAGATGGCAACGCTGTTTTTTTCTTCCCTCACGTAACTGCACAGTAAAAACTGCAAAACAATGGAGTGTGCGTGCCATGGTATACAAAAATAAAATTAACTTTTCGTGCCTTGAACTACATGTAATGTCGGATGGATCCAATAATCTGCGATCGACCTGTACTTACGAATACGCATAGGTGTGTGTCAAAAATACAATGAATAGCACAAAAAAAAATTAGGGAATTTTTACGAGAGACGAGAAAGAACATATACATGTGGAGCATTACAGCGAATCTATACAACGATAAGCTTCTAAAAAAATAAAAATAAATAAATAAATTAAAAGTACTAAAAAATGGTTTTGTGGAAAATATTTTTTTGTCTTCAACGTGTCATCAGAGATATGGGAAAAGTTCGTGGGTATAAAGCAACTCGAGGCGTGACACACTTTTTATTTGGCATTTTCCCACGTGTACGTCCGATACTAGAATTTCGGAATGAAGAAAAAAAAACCTACAGCATTCGAAAAAGGTTGAAAAAAACAACAATGGATATTTTTATTTTTAATTTGTCTAAAACGGGTGAACCAAAAAAACTCCATCCAGTTGAGGTGCTATATAGTTATGTTTATTATATACGGAGATCGGGCTTTAACGAGCGAAATTCCCTAGTTTAAGGTGTCCAAACTCGGCCGAACCCCTCCCTCCTTTACTCAATGTAACACTGGCCTTCACCCTCGGACGCAACGCTCTACTTTTCTACCCGATACACCCATCCTCGCTCTTTCGGATACACATCGAAGATTTCACGGGTCAACGCCTCCCCCTTTTTCCCACGACCCTTTGTTCACCCGAGTCAGCGTGCTCCCTACGTGCATACACCTACCCTTTGACGTGCCAATCAAATGGAGTCAAACTGAAAGCAGTTCAAAAAGTGCAAAAAGTGCAAAAAAGTATTTTAACGTCAGTGTACACCTGGAAATTCAAGGATTTGCAACAACTTGACAACTACGGTAGCACCTGTCGTGTACTGTCGCTCAAAACTACGTACTCGGAGGTAAACATACGGACACGAGGTGGAGTGGGAAAAAAAAGAAGAGAGACGCATGGAGGTCAACGCAACCTGCCTGTCTGCACAAAAAAAAAAAAAAAAAGTAA